CTTCAGCTCTTTTAAGTTTTTTTTTTTACACATTTGTTTCACTAGGACAGTGCAAATATCTATGGAAATCTATGACAATCAATTAAGTAAATGAGGAAATAGAATGCTTGTAATTAAGATAATCAAATTACATGAAATCCACCCTACTATTGCTAATATCTGTATATCTCCAAGCTGTATATTAAACACCATGTAAGTGTTGCAATTAGGCTGCTGTAGTGAAAACGAAAGAAAAATTAAAATGATTGGAGAGGTTTTTACTGTATGTGAATGAAAACAACAATCGTTGTTTTAAGGCATTTAGTAATAATTTGCTGCAGACACTCTGGGATGCCTCAGGACTCAGAAGCAGCTGAAGCTTACTACAGAAACGGGTGACCCAAAGTAAGTACACTTTGGTTTGCAAAAGCTATGTTTCTTCTCAGGAGTGTATGTTATTTTCTCCTCAATTTCATGAATGAGTTTGGGTTACTGAGCTCTAAAACCAGTAGTCAAAGAGGTTAGATACTTCATTGTAGATAGGAAACTGCAAAGGGCAGAATGGAGAGAGAGGAATTATTCTGACTAGCTCTTCAAATACAAGAGACTTTGTCCTGCTTTTGTATTCTTTTGTGTTTGTATTTTGATGTGAAGACCCAAAGGTGTCTCAGGCTTTCCTACCAGACAAAACAGCATGTTAATATAGTTATATTAACTGGGAGACAAACAGTAAATGAGTCTAACTGGATAATCTGGGAATATTCAGATTGTGTTGCTTCATTTCTTTCCTGGTGCTTTTTGGAGGCCTGGGGAATCAAAAGCCTTGGTCAGGGTCAGTGTCTGGCTCTAAGAAGCCAGGGGAGGACCCGGTCCCTCTGTGTGGATACCCCCGAAGCAATCACACAGCAACTTCAAAGTGAGTTTATTGTGGTTTTCCTCAGATGTGTTTTTTGGGACATTCGCACTTTCTCTTTTTCTCCTGTGTGTAGTTTTAATGGCTGTAAGTACATGCATTAAGGTAGCACGGGGGCAGTGGAAGTGTTAAGTTTCAAGGCCAAGGCATTCAAACAGCTTTGCCACCTTGGAACTGCTGAACATCAGCCTCATTAGCTGGGGATGCCAAAGCAGCTGAATAGGGCAAAACAGATGATGAACCCTTCTGCTAATTTTCCAGGTATTGCCACGGCTGTTTTAACACTTAAGTCTTTGGTGTCAAATGAAGTAGTATGCCTCATCAGTATGGACATCAGCTTGATGAAGTTGTTGCACAAATAATGAATAAAAGTAATATTTTTGTTGTGTTTATTTTTTCAAATTATTTTTAAAAAATCTGCTTTTACAGCACAATACTTTTCCCTATGACAAATGAGCCTATTCACTGATACTGCATTTTTCAGATCATAATATTTACATTTCTAGAAAGAAGTGAAGAAAACTTACAGGACACCTTCAATTTTTCATTTGATTTTGTTCTTATTTTTTTTTATTATTTGACATTGATACAAAAAAATAGTATCTTGATTAGCAGCTTTGCTGGCAATCCCACAAAACTGTAAATAATACTTTAATCTAAAAGAATGCACTCCTACAGACACTATAGATAAAACAATATATACAATTTAGACAAATAAATACATAAGTACAGCCAGTCATATATAATGATACACCTAAAGTTCGGTTACTGTTGACAAGCTTTTCTAGTTAATTACACTCTTCATTTACAAATTGCCATTGCCATCTACATTGTAAAGACAAAAAAAAACCAACCAAAAAACAACCCCGTAAAGAATCAAAATTGATACTTAACATTATTATTAGAAAAGATGGAAAATGCACCTTGAGACTTCTGTTTAAATACTCTCATGATTTTAGCAAAAAATGCTTTTGTGAACATCATCTCCTTAGAGAGGCATTTTTCCACTACCTTCTTTGCTCAGTGTGATTTATTCACATAGGTTTTGGAATGGAAATTTGATTCTAGTCAAACTTTTGCAGTGACTAGAAGCCAGCAGTTAACCAAGTTGTCATTTGTCCCATGCCTGTTTGTGAAACAAAATGACCCTTAAATAACATAGATATTTCTTCTGACTAAAGGAAACCTAATGCAAACACTTGCTTGTTAACAGTGTTTACCCCACGTGGCACAAATACTGAGTGGAAGGGACAGTAAACTGCCCCTATGAATAGACGTATTGCTCCCTTTCTAGATCCAGGTTGCAATACTGCAATATTAAATAATAAAATCTGTTATGTAAGTGTAACAAGCTAGTGAAGTCTAGTATGAGAAAATTAATAGAAGTAGAAAATTAGGCTTTTGTTGTGTTCTTTTAGATTCACTTGACAATAAAAAAAAAAAATCTTGTACATTCAGAAGTTAGGGCACACATGCTTAAGGCTCTTGAAACACTGGACAAATATAATAACTAAGCTCCATGCATAACAGAATACTACATAGCAAGCAGACTCTACACATATATACAGCTGAATACAGAATAAAATGCCTTAGAAATATGTACATCAATTTCAAGATGAACATTTACATTTCTGTTGAAGATCTATCTCTAAATGGCAGGAAATATATTTTTTCACATACTATTTTCAAGGTGTACCTTCCAATCACTAATGCAGTCTACTTGTACTAGGAGAAATTCAAGGCTGTCATGCTGCTTGAGCCCTGAAGTATCTGGATTGGGAGCCCTGCTGTCCTCTTGGTTACTAACTAAAGGCCACAGAAGCTTCAGCAGGAGAAGTAAGGCCACCAAATCCACTCAGCTGTAAATTCAGAAACCCCAAATTGCTGCACAGTGCAGAGGGATAGCAGAAGTGATTGCAGCCTGTGGGTTGAAATTATTACAAAGTGTGTTTCCGGTAGGATGGCATCTATACTGTCTGATTTACCACAGGGCTGGGGATGAATTCTTCTCTCGTTTCCCTTCCTAAACAAGCATATTCTGGGGCTTGGGTAAGGAAAGCTGAACTTCACCCAATCTGTGTGTGTTATATTCATCTAATGCAATTAGCTGAACCTTGTTTATCTAGAGTTTGACAGGAAGCAAGAGCAACTTTAATAGGGACTAGGTCAACTAGGGAAGGATAAATCTTAATTATGCTGCAAGTGGTTCAGTATTTTTAAATAAAATTACCAACTTTCATTTATGAAGGGTGCACCAGCTCCTGTTGATTAGAAGTAATTCCTGTCTGTTGTATAGCTTCACCTTTAGATCTGAACTAGATTTAAGACTATTACTGCTTGTGACTTGAAGGCCGGGTACACTTTACCTTACTTACAAGTAGTTCCTTTCAAAACAGTAGTGCTATATCTGTAAATAAGGCTAAAAAATTGTCATGAAACAGCAAACCTTTTGGGATAGCATCTTCATTCCTCTATGACTGGTCTAAAGTGCTATGTACACCTATGGCAAAATCAGGTCAGAGTTTTCCTTTAAATTCTTATTGTTAATTTCTGACAACTTTATAGGTATCCTGAATAACGTACCAACTTAACAGTTTTTCATATGTTACACATAATGCCAGCTGAAATGAATGAGACTTTTCTGTGTGCTGTGGACAGTGTGAGTAATCTGCAGCTAATATTATATTTGGTGAGTTTTGTATCTTTATAACTTGACTGTGAATTCTTCATTCTAAGTTATTTGCTGAGCGACGTCATACTTTAGCTCTTTGTTAGAAGATGGTGCTGAAAGAGAGATAGCTTAAATTTACTGAAGATTTTTCCAGGAAAGAATTTTCATGACATATCACTAACATACATATTCATATTCAAAACACATAATGAAACTTGAATAAAATCTTGTGTATTTGATTTCTGTTTCATGCTCTGCAGATCTCTTAAGCAGGACGTCAGTGAGTATTGGCTCCGTGATGAGTAACCTGGCAGCTGCGGATTTGGAACAAAGGCTAGAATTTGTTTAATAGGTGATTCTTAAAAGCCCTTTTTTTTTTTTTTTTTTTTTTTTTTTTTTTTTTTTTTTTTTGACAAAATTTTACTTTTCTACCCCATTAAAAATCTGGTAGAATCTCATTCATATATGTACTGTAGCAAAAAGTAGAGCTTACCCTTAAAAAACTGCTTTTCTGTTACTCTTTTTAGATAAATAGTGCACTGACTGATGTTAAAGAAATATGCTGCTTATTGACACTGTTATCATTCAATATAATTATATATTACTAAGCAAGATGGTTAATGGAGAGATCCGCCGATACTAATGAGAAACATTGCACTTGCTTTGAAATGAAAAGTTAAAGGATATTCAGAATTTTCTCATGTAGTTTTAAGATAGTTTTTCATACATCTCCCCTGTCTTATTTCACCTACAGATTCTACTTAATTTTAAAATTGTATTATATCTTCTAGGGGCTACTTTAGGGAGTGGAAAGAAATGGGGTATCTTCTGAAATAATTTAAAGGAATACCATTTGGTTCATAAAAAACATACTTGGGTGTGTGGGTTTGTTTCTAAGGCCTACGAGACTTTGATGGTCTTACCTGTCTAAATTCTGCTGTATACCTCAGTAAGCTGTTTGGGAATTACACACGTTGTACTATAAAATATATATGTCAAGATAGGTGTATAAGCTCAGTGCAGATGTATACCGCCCAATTTATTAACAAAGATCTAAATAGAGATGGTTGTTATGTGTCAAAAAGGAATAAAAGTATGCTTGTAATTCTTCATTGCCTAAGGCCTGAGCCTTATCTCGGAGCCTGGGGCATGAACTGTTAAGCAGCTCAATAGTTTATTACTGTCCTTTTACATACAGGTGTAGGAGCTGATATATGTAATAGAGAATAATATACAAAATCTGAGATTTGACTCTAGATCGTTTTGGTTGGTGTAATGTCCTTATGAAAAGAGCCTGAAGTCTGTAAACCAGTAGTCAAAACGAGAATGAAAAATCAGTCATTAAAAATCCTCTCACAGTTAATACCCCACAGTTTAACCTGTAAATCAGCAGATCACTTTGTCAAAAAATAACCAGACTAAACCAAAATTAAAAAAAAAAAAAGGTATTTACATCTGTAAAAATCTTAACATCTAAGATGTTTCTTGCTGGACATGTCATTCCAAATTCTGTGCATTTCTTCTGGTGTTATCTGATGCACTGTGATCACCCTGCGGTACCTGCACAAGCTGTAGGCCATTTTCCAGTGATTGAAGCCACTGTTCTGGAAGGGGTGAATGCCCAGCTTCCGAAGACAGAGTCCAACATACACATCTTCAAGATGAAGTAGTCTGGTATGAAGGGAGGTTTTGTAAATCAGTTCTGCTACGTCAGCTGAAAAAATGTAGCCGGTGCCTGAACAGAAGGGTGGGTAATTGCTGTCGGGATACAAATCTCTTGGCATATACCACTTACTGCGAACATCTCTTATTGGTCCTCCGTTTATGACGTAACCAGTGAAGTACCTTCTCCTTGGCTTGGTGTTAGGTTTGAGCAGCTTATAAATAAGATTATCCATATTTACAAAAATATCACTGTCTGTCTTCATAACATACTTTGCTTTTGAGCAAAATGTTGCTACCCACCTCATCCCCATCAATGTTTTCAGAGTGAGGTTATGATAAGAGTCGATAAAATCCTCCACAATAATGTCATGAAAAATTTGGCTTTCTTGCTCTACCATTTGATTTAACACAGGATCTGCATTTTTTCCAAGAAGAAATAGTGTGGCGATTTTAATTCCTTTAAAGTTGTTTTCATCTCCCCATGTTTCTCGGATGGCTTGCCTTGCATCAAACTCTTTGTGAGTTGTGCTGATAAGAATGACCAAGAAAGGGGCACTCTTCTCACATTTGTTGGGTTCATTGATAAGAAAGTCAAAGGAATGTGGATTTATAGGTCGAGTTCTTATGTTGCCAAATGAAACATTTTTTCTGGCTATGGATATGCTGCTGAGCTGTCTGTGGCCAGTGTAGGAAGAAGTAGGACGAGTTATACTTAAGTACCAAAGAGCGCTTGCCCAACAAACTACTGTCAAAACGTATAAGCATGAGACCTTTGAAGCCATTGTGCCTCTAGCTCTTCTATTTCATGTGATGAATAAATAGCCTTCGTACCATGAGTACACCTACGTCCTGAAGAGGCACCATATTATTAATGAAACTTGAAAGTTCGATATAGAAAAGTAACTCTGTAATCATTCATGGATCTCATGTAGGAGCTATTAACCCTGATGATACTCAGCTTTTCTTCTTCTACTAGCAGCGGCTTCCATTTCTTGGAATTTTCTGTTATTTCTGAAAAATATGAAGGAAAATTTTCCATTGCTAGATCATAAAAGCCTAGGGCAAGAAAAATTAAGCTTAAATATGACTGGCCATTAATAAGCTAAGCGTCTTAATGCATTTCTCAGCCTTTTTTTTCCTCATGAGGTACCACAATAGAAGATAAGTATGCTAGAATATAGCTATATAACTGAAGTAATGATTTTATGATTGATAATTTCTCATAGATAGTAATACATTAAAAAATTTAAGCATGCATAGCATGTTGTCTATTAAGATAATTTTAAAGGTATATGAAAATAATTTTATCTTTTCTAGCATTTTCTTGCTTCCTAGCTTTTTTTTCTGGACAATCTTTCAAAAATATGCCATGGAACATTTTCAAATTATTTAAAGAATGAAAAATACTGTACTTTATTTTAGGGTTAATAGCGTTAGTGGCAACTATGCACATGAATACCTTCAAATCTCATTTGGTCTAAATGTTATTGTCTGTCCTGCTAACAAGAGCACACTTTGGTGGAAATCAGAGTGGGACTGGTTGGTAAAGGTACAGGAGAGGGATATGTATAGTCTTACCCGCGTAAAGATCAGCACTCGAGTAGACTCCATAAAAGTCTAGAAATAAATTAACACAATTCAGTTATACTTGGCTTCCTTCTCCTCTCCCCCCAGACTAGTCTTTACTTTCCATGAGGAAATAGCATCTGTATACCCCGTAAGTAAACCGGGGCGGGCGGTGTGCAGCCGCGGGGCAAGGGTTGGTGTGCCAGCACCAGGGAGCTGTGAGGCTTTTCGGGATCCAGGGCATGTGCCAGCCCTGAGGCTTCCTTTGCTCTTAGCGTGTTTTCTGGGAACCGGTTTTGTTTATCATCATTTCATGCAAACGAGACAAGCTGCGTTAAGCCCACTGGATCAGTGCTGACTCCTCCAAGGCATGCCAGTAGCTGGAGTGCCGCAAGGCTCCATGTTGCTGGGTTTTACCATTGCATTGCTTCAGAGCTAAAGGACAGTAGAAGCACGCAACAGATAAGCTTTAACCAAAAGTCTTTGAAATATTTAATATTTACTTTGGATAGAACAAACCATACATGTATTCAGATAAAAAGATAGAAGCCCTGTCTTAGAAACATACTTTGTTTCCACACTGCTTTGACACATTGCTTGGATTACATAACAACGCTTTTTAAGGAGCCCGTGGCTCCCCACACCCCTCGTTGCATATGTATGGTCTCTTTTTCCCTTTCTCCAAAAGCAGATGAGTGTGTAGCCTTGGACGTGGCCCCGTGGCAGAGCCTCCTCCCAGGTGATCTGTTGCTTAGGGTTTGTGCAGACAGAGCTCCCCCACGTCTAGGCAGGCAGGCTATCAGAGTTCAAGGACTGTTATCCTGTGTCACTATTTCACACCGAGGTGTAAAAACAGCAGAGAAACAATCTGAACTTTTGCTAAATATGTGAAGACTATAATCTCACAGATTCTTATAGCTAACGCTCTCCTGCTCGTCTTCATGACATGCCCTTTTAGTTATGACCAGAACCCACATACCCCTCTCCTCCTCCATGAAATAGGATAATGTGAATTTGTGGCCTGTTTCAGAGCTTCTTCAGTTTCAATTGGTTTTGCCCTATAACTGGGGCAATTTGGTGAGGCAGAGGTTGACTGTGATCTTCTTTGCTACTTGTCAGGAATTGAGGTTTTTGATCTTTTTCCACCAAGCAGTAGCAGTATATTTAAGTGAGCCCTTTAATTGCCCCACAGGGCTAAAGAACGTACAGATCTTGGCGCATGCATGTACATCCTTGTAAACAAATACAGTTATGACAAATATATACACAAATGCTATTGTAATATTGTCTGGAGAGGGGATCTGTCCTGCAGTAATTCCTCACTGGGATCAGTGGCATACAGTTCTGAGAAAGGCAAAACGCATCCCTGATTTGGTAGGTTCGTCTTCTTTCTGGCTCTGTTGTGAATCTCTGATATCTCATACTATGTAGGTCAGTGTTCTTAAAGGACTCCAGCATTAAGGTCTCACAAATACTTCTAATACTCTGCACATGATGAATTATTTTAGGAAACTATATATTGCACTCTCTAAACATGTACATTCTTCTACATCTTTTCTGTAATAAAGGTAAGTGCATTAGTTACCATGAATACTGTGAAGATATCTGAGGGAAAAGAAAACTGTAACCAGTGCTTCTTACAAACTACAAAATTACATAAAATAGCTTTTCAGTTCAGCAATGTCATGGTTGCAATATCCAATCTTGTGTGCTCTGAAAGCATTAGCAGCAACAAAAGCCTTACACCATTTTGAAGAAATCTTCCAAGCTATTGTAGGGAATTTTTTGCTCAGTTATGAAATCGACAGATAACTGTCCAGGATAATATTTCTTATACTTGCCCTTGGATTGCTATCTCTTGAAATACATTTAGCTTTTTCTGTTCTGTGTTTGTTTTTTGGTTTTGGTTTTGTTTTTTTTTTTTTACAGTTTTGCCTTTTTTTTCAAAAGAAAAATAAGAGTTTAGATGGTGTTCTTCAGTTTGGAGTGGTTTATACCATTCCTGTGGTAATTTTTGAGCAAAGTGTAGGTAGTTATAAATAAACTGGCTGTAGTTTTCCTGACAAGCAAAATTTTAGATTTCATTCTTTTTTAAGAAGATTGGGGGTAAAAACAAAAAGAGAGCTTCCTGCTTTCCTGAGATGGGTAACTGCTATTCCCACTCTGCTGTGAGGTGAAGATGTGAAGATTAAAGTTCACATTCCTGCTCTACCTGAGCTTTTTGCTCTATATGGGGAACAGATTTGGAAGAAAATAGCACAAACAAAAATCAAATAGTGCAAATACAAAACAAAATTTACTGAGGAGTCTTGGTCCGCTATTTTAGCTGGGATTATTGTCACCTTCATTACTGACCTCTCTCTCACTCTTTGTAGGATGACAGATGGGATTAGATAAGTAGCTATGTTGTGTGTATTTTTTTGGCCATTAGGGCAAATGCTCCTACAAATTATTTCTGGCAACATTGTTCCTGCACAGTAATTCCAGTAATGTTTAGCTTGCACAAGCAAGAAAATACATAGCTTGATTAGGCAGGGAAACATGAACTAAGCAGTGAAATACATATTTTGTGATGAATTAGCAGTCAAGAATTTCAGAGGTTGCCAAATTCTGTTATTAAATATGATGCTAATTCATCAAGGACTTGAACAAGTGCCGAACACGGGCTTTCCTAGAATTCCTCCTGTGTTGCAGGTATCTTGCACAATTATTCAGTTTGTGACAGCAAACCTTTTCCCCGTCATGTGTTGTGATCTGAAACTAAACTCTTCCACCATGCAATATGCGGGACTTGTATATCAAGGGTGTGAATCACAAGGAATGAGATCAGAGTGTAAAATTTGTGTTAATTACTCATTTGGAAAAGAGGAAGAATAAGGTATGTGAACTAAGGTCACTACTTTAATCTAAATAACAACTGAAAGCACTTCAGTGTCTTCATGTTATTGTGGTTCCCTTAGCAGTTTGCAGAGAAGTTCTTCAGACCATTTTTAACCTAGTCAATAGTACATATATCAAAAGCTGCCTTAAGGAGCAAATTAATTAATACATTGTGTTTCTAGTCCTGCTACTGGATTCAGTATATTGCCACCATAAGGATGACTTTTTTTTTTTTTTTTAAGTTTTGCCATGATATTCTTGAATTTGGTGTTGAAATTTGGAGACCCTCTAACAGCAGGATATAGGTTGTCACAGAGAGAGCAGAAAGCTTTATCAGCTTTGGATATTTTTGTCTGTTGGGTTAGGGTGTGTCATGTTTGGGAACATTGGCACAGGTAAAGGGAAATGTCACCTCCTTTCCTTTGTTCTATGGGGTAAAAGAAAGCTTTTAGCAGGGCAGCAGCAATGTTAAGCTCTTGGATTCTTGTTTTTAAAAATGTTTTAATTCAATCTGACTCTTTCCCCAACCTGACTGTCATGCTATAAGTAATCAAAGGCTCAAGCTTTGCTAGGGTAGATGATTGTAAAAAGCAAATGTTTAGCACCGTGTTTCCATATTGTGACTCAAAGTTCTGCACTTAATTGCACTATTCACAGCTCATGCTGTGTGAACCAGTGAAGCCACTGGGTCAGAGCACAGAAAGCAGTACTGTGTAACTTCTGTAAGTAATTGACCTGATGGAGACTGAATATTTGCAGTAAACCTTTTACGAGCTGACTGTACATCAAGAATAATTCTCCAGATAATGAGCACATTCCAGATTCTCACTAACTCTTCACGGGCAATTTTCAGGCAGACGTCAAATGAGTTCAGCAAATGTTACTCGCCAACTGCAATATTTTGCCAATATTCTGGAATGCTGCTGTGTCTGCTGAGAGGTTGTCGATCTTTTTCTTTCAAGAAATCCCTTCCTTTGTAAGTGCGGTTGCATTAATGTAACTCGATCATGCTGGATGCACATGATAGAAACCACAGGTCTTGAAGCCTGGTGTATTGCCATAGTTGTAATCCAGCCCGTGTCAGTAGCTACTGCTGAGGCTTAACGTAGGTGCTGAATGGAGGCAGTCAGGATGCTGAGCCCCTGGGATGATGCTGGGTGAGAAGCCGAGGGAGGCCACAACTGCTCATTCTGACACCCAGAAGCCTGTTAGGCGGAGCATGACTGAGTCCAATTAATACTGTGTATCTCTGCCAAAACGTACCTATTCCTTTCCATAGGAAAAAAAAAAAAAAAAAAAAAAAAAAAAAAAAAAAAAAAAAAAAAAAAAAAAAAAAATTTAGCAACTGTAGCAAACTCTTCTCATTTTCCCCGAAGAGACATTTTTGTAAGAGTTTTCTATGATCATGGGTTTCATCTGTATGTAGACCAAGACACTGAAATATCTTCACCATTTATGAAGTCCTTAAATTACCTCAGGAAAAGTCTGTGTTTATTACTGAAGCTTGTTGAGAAGATAATTATCATGAACATTAAGAACACATCTACAAAGAAATCTGGGGATGCTGTTGTATTCTTGGCTTTATGTTTTCATAGTAATTTCTTGAGGAAATTCTGGACAGATGGCAGAGGTGATTTAACAGGAGATTGCAAGCTCCTCTCTGGCAACTTCATTTGAAGGTTTCTTAAATGTTCCAAATGCTTTTGCTGTGCCTGGGTGTAATGGACCTGAAACCAAATCAGTGCTGCAAAGACCTTGCTCTCCAGAATATATATGGAAAGGGATTGTAATAGATGTAGGAGCCACAGTCTTGAGTTGAGGGGAGGAAAGTACAAGCATTCATTTCAGGTCCATGTTTTTTAGAAGAATCAGTTCTACTTTGGGGGGTCCCAGCTGTCATATGTTAAAAGAGGGTGTCTTCCCTGCTCTTCCTTCAAAGGCAATGAGGACAAATATTTTCTGAAAATCAGGCTGTTTTAAGATATGCTGTTTGTACCTAGAGAATCATTCCTTATTCACAGAAATATTGATGATGGGCTTTACCCTAAGCAGTAACTGAATGTGAAAGCAAGAATTTGCACCAGTGATTATTTCATACTAACAGTTCTCATGAAAGTTGATTTGCAGATGGTTTATGTTGTATTTCATCACTGAATTAAAGAACTGATCTC